TGACACCCTCAAGCAAGAGGGTAAGACACAGAAAGAAATTGCTGAACAATAGGCTGTTCCCAGAGTGCTGTATCAAGGCACCTCAGTGGGAAGTCTGTGGGAAGGGAAAAGTGTGGCAGAAAACGCTGCACAACGACAAGAGGTGACCGGACCCTGAGGAGGATTGTGGAGAAGGGCCGATTCCAGACCTTGGGGGACCTGCGGAAGCAGTGGACTGAGTCTGGAGTAGAAACATCCAGAGCCACCGTGCACAGGCGTGTACAGGAAATGGGCTACAGGTGCCGCATTCCCCAGGTCAAGCCACTCTTGAACCAGAAACAGCGGCAGAAGCGCCTGACCTGGGCTACAGAGAAGCAGCACTGGACTGTTGCTCAGTGGTCCAAAGTACTTTTTTCGGATGAAAGCAAATTTTGCATGTCATTCGGAAATCAAGGTGCCAGAGTCTGGAGGAAGACTGGGGAGAAGGAAATGCCAAAATGCCAGAAGTCCAGTGTGAAGCACCCACAGTCAGTGATGGTCTGTGGTGCCATGTCATCTGCTGGTGTTGGTCCACTGTGTTTTATCAAGCGCAGGGTCAATGCAGCTAGCTATCAGGAGATGTTGGAGCACTTCATGCTTCCATCTGCTGAAAAGCTTTATGGAGATGAAGATTTCATTTTTCAGCACGACCTGGCACCTGCTCACAGTGCCAAAACCACTGGTAACTGGTTTACTGACCATGGTATTACTGTGCTCAATTGGCCTGCCAACTCTCCTGACCTGAACCCCATAGAGAACCTGTGGGATATTGTGAAGAGAAAGTTGAGAGACGCAAGACCCAACACTCTGGATGAGCTTAAGGCCGCTATCGAAGCATCCTGGGCCTCCATAACACCTCAGCAGTGCCACAGGCTGATTGCCTCCATGCCACGCTGCATTGAAGCAGTCATTCGTGCAAAAGGATTCCCGACCAAGTATTGAGTGCATAACTGAACATGATTATTTGAAGGTTGGCGTTTTTTGTATTAAAAACACTTGTCTTTCATTGGTGGGATGAAATATGCTCATTTTTTGGGACAGGCATTTTGGGTTTTCATGAGCTGTATGCCATAATCATCAGTATTAAAACAATTAAAGACCTGAAATATTTCAGTTGGTGTGCAATGAATCTGAAATATATGAAAGTTTCATTTTTATCATTACATTATGGAAAATAATGACCTTTATCAGAATATGCTTATTTTTTGAGAAGGACCTGTATGCTGTACACCTGCCCAGGTATCACTCTCTTGAACCAGTAGAATCTGGTTTGCATGGCCTTTTTTCATTCAACCTTTATTTATACAGGTAAATCCCATTGAGCCTCGGGAATCATTTACAAGAGAGACCTGATTTCAAGAAAGAATGATGACGACAGTGAACAGTCAAAAAGGATGTGTACAAATTGAGATTTTTTTAACAAGTGAAAATAAAATGGTATTTAAAAGAAAATGTAACAAAAAAATCCCCAGCTAGATCATAAAGTGATGTAGAAAACTAAAAACAAGAACATCTGCAAGAATTTAACAGATGTTTGAAGCCACTTAGAGAGGTCAAAGGTCGAGAGCTTCAGATCTTTTTACAAGATATTCCAGGAAACAGGAGCGGAGTAGGAGAAGATCCTTTAGTCTAGTTCAGTCCTCACTGAGGGAACACTGCAGGTAATAATGTCCTGAGAGCGCACGCTGTAGCTGCACTCACACAGAGACATGTAGGAGGAGATGTATGAAGGCAGCAGACCAAGAAGTGATGGGGTCTTGCTTGCAGTTTTGACAGAACACAGAGATAATCTGCAGGTCCCAGGTCCTGAATACATGGTGACTACCTCAGCAGTAACCATGACCCAACACTCCACCGAGGATGCTTTCTCATGATAATCTTAGAAAGTTATGACACTCCTTAGTGACTTAACCACTTATGAACCTCTGAAAAGAGATCCAGGAAGTGGTTACAAGAAGAAATTGATAGATTGCCTGAAAAATTTGGAGCAGGACAAGGCTATTGACCGTTTTCTGTACCACAGACTGTACCCAGGGGAGGCCACACCTAGTCTTTATGGTTTACCTAAAATCCACAAACAAGGTGTACCTTTAAGACCAATTGTTAGCATGATTAACTCTGTCACTTACAATGTTTCCAAATATCTGGCGTCTGTACTCATCCCTTTAGTTGGCAGCTCAGAACACCACATACAGAACACCATGGACTTTGTGGATAAGGTGAGGGATGTCATCATGGAGACTGATGAAACAATGGTCTCTTTTGATGTCACATCACTCTTTACGTGCATTCCTGTTGATGATGCAGTAGAGGTGGTCAGTTTAACATTAAAATTAGACACCACTCTGAGCAGCAGGACCACGCTTTCCACAGAACAACTGTGTCAACTCTTGAAACTGTGCCTGCAGTCAACCTACTTCACATATGGGGAGCAATATTATAGGCAGAAACATGGGTGTGCTATGGGGTCTCCAGTTTCTCCTATTGTTGCCAACCTGTACATGGAGGAGGTAGAAAAGAGAGCCTTGACGTCCTTTTCAGGGACACCACCAAGTCATTGGTTCAGGTATGTTGACGACACCTGGGTTAAAAT